TTGAATGACCTAAAAGGCCAGTCAAAACGGTTCACCTAATCACTTGCTGGCATTCCTGGAATGCAAATTTTGTCTAAGTCTTCTAGGTTTGAATGGTATGTTTCTAATTGAATTGATGTTGTTGAGCTATCTTATATGGGATCTTTATTAGAGCTCATTCTCAGCTGAAAAGAGGGGAGAGGCAAGAGGAGTAAATTTTAACGTTGATAGAATGCAAAACCCAGAGCATTTTCACAACATAAACCGAATCCTCTGCCGACATTAAAAATCAAAAAATGCTTATCAATTTTTTTTTAATCGAATATAGCGGTTTCGACCTCTTATAGAACCTCATAATTCACCCACGGGATAATATAGTCTTCTATCTCACATTTACGTACAAAGTAATTATTGAAAAACTTTCTAGGGAGAGAATCGATCTCTCAACCTACCGCATGTGAGATGAGACTCTTTGTCATTTAGACTATCTGGGATTAAAATTAGGACTACAACTTGGGTGGGTTGGGAGTATAGTTTTAGCCGAACTAGCCATATGAAATATTCAACCCTAACTAATTAACTTGAGCCTAACACATTCTCCTATTTTAAAACTCGAATTTGCAAATCGGCTGACATTTCAAGTAATAAAATCAGGTTAATTTGGATTACTCAAATGATCAATAATCACATTGATCTTGAGTTAGTTCCGAATTAAAATTTCAATACATTGATATTAGTGAAACTTGTCGGCCTCGGTCGGGACCCTACTGTTATTTACTCCTAGGCACAAAAAAATTTGAAAAACTTATTGCAATTTTGTAATAATTTTTTTCCCAGCAAATTTTTAATTGTACAAAATTAACTATCCAAAATGTTTACATGTAATAAAGGGTTTTTTGAACTTAAATCTCATCATTTTATATGGGTTTTGATATTGGTCTCTTTTGCAAAAAAAAAAAAATTAAAGATTAGCAATATTTTTAGACTTAGGTTAGTCAACAAATGGTCCATTAAGTAATGTTAACGTTAAGAGATAAAACTACCCCAAATTGCAAATAACAACGAGGAGAATACAAATCTTCCTAATAAGGAATAAAGCATCTTGCCCCTTTTCATAAATATTATTCAATTGAGGAATAACTTTTGAGATCCACTCGGGGCTAGCTTTCTTCCTCTTTCAGCAAGATAGGCTGTAGTTTTTTTCTTCCGGGTTACAAATTCCACCTTCAATCACCTACATGCATTTGATGTAATTCTTTTTTATGTTAAAACTTAGAAGAGACAAAATACTAGCCCACATGATTGGGTTTGAGAGAGAGAATGATGGAAGGCTTTCATGAATTCACTTCGCAAGACAGTACAAATTAGAGTAAGAACAAAAATGGGTTGTGATTGTGATTAGGGTTGTTTGCTTGAAAATAAATTGAGGTTAGTTTTGGAATTTGATTAAAAAGACATTCTTAAAGTTAACTTAATTAGTACACGTTTGTTGACTGACAAATAAGTCTAAAAATAGGACCAATATCTAATCTATTTTTTAAAAAGAATCAACATTAAAACCCATACTAAATGATGTGATTTAAGTCTAATAAACATCCTATAATAAATTAAGTTTTAAACAAAGAAAATTGAAAAGTAAAAAGGATGATCATAATTTGTTTATTATATATAATTTTTTTAAATTAAAAATAAAAAAATTAAAAATATATATGAAAATAATATTAGAATTCGACTTCGGGTAGGGCTCGGATTGCTAGTACCTCAATCCAGCACTACTTAAACTAAATTCGGATTGAGATTTTTCAACTCAAGTCCAACCTTAATTGTAAGAATAATTTTCCAAACTTGCAAAAGGTTAATCTCGATTCGAGTTGAGTTCTGATTGACTAGCCCAAATTGCAACTCTAATTGAAATGTTTATTGGGTCTTTATATCCATGACCGGTTAAAAATCATATATATTTTTTATTTAAATAGAAAATTAAAAAATGATTAAGTAATTAAGGCAACAAATACAAACTAAATATAAATAAATAGGTGAAAGTGCAAAAAACCCACCTATACTATAAACATAGTGCAAAAAAGTTTCTGTGTGGTATAAAACCCCCCTATACTATCAATTTTGTGCAAATACCCCATGTTCACATAAAAGGACTATAACACCCTCTTGTCAGTAAAAAAAAAATGTTAAAATAGGCAATGTAAAATTACCATTTTAGACAATTCCCAAACTCAACCACATACACGGTGTGGATGTGGTTAAGCCACGTCACCAAATGTCAAGTCAAACTGATCCTACGACAGTACTATCTTTAAGTGACAAAAATAATCAACACTTGGATGAGACAATCCAGCTCAGCAAAAAAGCAATAATCGACCAGGGGGCCTCGAACCCTGGCCAAACCAAACAGTCTATCGACGGACCTTGAATCTCGATCTGACCTGGCCACGAATTGTCGATCGACAGGCCTTGAACCTCGATCCGACCTGGCCACCAACAGTCGATCGAATCCGACCTGACCACGATACTAGCCCACATGATTGGTTTTGAGAGAGAGAATGATTAAAAGGCTTACATGAATTCTTCACTTTGTAAGACAATACAAATTAGAGAAAGAACAAAAATGGGTTGTGATTGTGATTAGGGTTATTTGCTAGAAAATAAATTGAGGATAGTTTTGGAATTTGATTAAAAAGACATTATTAAAGTTAACCTTAATTAGTACACGTTTGTTGACTAACAAATAAGTCTAAAAATAGGACCAATATCTAATCTATTTTTAAAAAGGATTAACATCAAAACTCATACAAAATGGTGACATTTAAGTCTAAAAAATCTTATAATAAATTAAGATTTAAACATAGAAAATTGAAAAGAAAAAAAAGGTGATCATAATTTGAATACTATATACAATTTTTTTAGATAAAAAATATATATGAAAGTTAACCTTAAGGCTCGGATTGCTAGTATTTCAATCCAAGCACTATTTAAACTAAATTAGGATTGCAAATTTTCAACTCAAGTCCAACCTTAATTGTAAAAATAATTGTCCAAACTTGCAAAAAGTTAATTTGGGTTCGAGTTGGGTTCGGATTGACTAGCCTAAATTGCACTCCTAATTGAAATGTTTATTGGTTCGGTATATCCATGACCTGTTAAAAATCATATATTTTTTTATATATTAATAGAAAATTTAAAAAATGATTAAGTAATTACTAATAATTTCTGAAAACTAGAGGCAACAAATACAAACTAAAAATAAATAAATAGGTAAAGTGCATAAAATCCCCTATATTATAAAAATAGTGCAAAAAATTCCTGTGTGGTATTAAGCTCCTATACTATCAATTTTGTGCAAATACTCTCGTATTGGCATACAACGACTATAACACTCTCTTGTCAATAAAATAAAATAATATTAAAAGTAGGTAATGTAAAGTTACTCTAGACAATTCACAAACTCAACCACATACATGGGAAAGCTAACATTTTTGTAACAAATATACCCTTGAATATGCTCTTATGTCTTTTAATTTAAGGGCTAATCGAGTCATTTTATTATAAGCAATATCCATATATCTCTGGCAATAATCCATGTCTGCACCAGATCCAAACGTCATTGTCGCAACTCGTTCCCTCGTCGAGTATTAGAAGCCATTAATAACCTGGGTCACTGCCGAAAAATCCATTAATAACCCAGATCATTAATGGCGAAGACCCATGTTGATTCTATAACGGCCACCATTAGGTCGCCAGAGTTTTAGAAGTCATGTCATGCGCCAGTGACCTGGTTACCGCTGCAGAGAGGACAGCGACCTAATGGTTGCTTTGGTGATGTGTTGGATCGCTAACAGCGATCCAATGGTAAAGGGAAGACGATGACCATTCGTCACCGTCTATGAAGGTTACTCTTCCATTCACTGTGTTCCATCAAGCACCAAGCAGCAAGATTCATAGAAAATCATACCATGCTAGCGAGTACAGAACTACGACGTCTTAACTACGACAACCACTAGTGAGAAACATTGAGAATCAACTAATCAAGTTCAGTCTGGCGAGCTTTCCGTTTCATTTACTTTCGGCGAACCCAATTGCAGCGAGTTAAAGAGCTTAAATTAGTTCCAGCGGAGCTTCAAAAGGTGACAGTTCTGACAAAAGGTATAGAATTTTATACGTACTACATTAGCGACAAAAACTGAAGGTCACGGACCCAAGCTCGATCTGTGAAGTTTACAGAACCACCGGTGAAGCTTACACAATTCGGCGAGCCCCCAAGCAACATCGAAATCCCTTTCAATGAGCTTAGAAGTCTGGCACGAGCTTTCACCGGCGACCTAACCAAGAAGCTCACACCTAAAGGCAACGCTACAAGTGACCTCACCCCACTTCAGCGAAACCCAGTTCTCACTGGCGAGCCTCCGAGTTAGCTCGATTTCAGTTCCGGCGTGTTTCATTTCAGTTAATTTCATCTCCGGTATTGGAGCACTCTGGAATGTCGCTTGAACTGAAGCATGCTGGTTTGTTTATTGAAGCTCGACATCGGTTTGGTAGAATATCACTTGTATATATATAAGATTGGAGAGATGAAAGAAGTGGTGGTGGCTGGCAGCAACATAGTGGGTGGGCTACTAATTTTTAGTATTAATTTTATAAAGTGAGAAGGGCAAAATGGGAAAGAAAAAGGGTAAAATCGGATTTTTAATTTATTTTTTCAAAATGGGGAGGTATTTGCACTTTTTTTGAAAAATAATGACTGAAATGCACTTTAAAAAAAAAATTAAGGCTCACAGTGCTGACTCTTGAAAGGGAGAGGGCATTGTGCACAAACTAAATAAATCTACTAGTACTAATTTCCGAAAAAAAGGTCACTAGTATTAATAAATTAGCCGTCTACCGGCAACTGCTTTTCCATTATATGATTAAGTACTCCCTAATAATTTCTGAAAACCGAGGCAACAATACTCTTATAGTAACCGGTTACCGGCAACTGCTTTTCCATTTATAGTAAACTCTTCCAGGATTCTCTTCCGGTCTCCGGTTTCACTTCACCTTGCCCCTAACTCCGTACGTTTTCAACCCCCCCTCCCAGTTGTAATTAGTCGACACTTACGCGCAGCACGCAGCTGCAGCGAGTGAAAATCCCTAATTCCACTCACTGAATCCCAACAGAACAACAAAGTCAAAATCCAAAACCCTAGGAGAAGAACAACAAAATCACTAGAGAGAAACTTGGATAAATGTAGAGAGAGAGAGAGAAAGACAGTAGATAGATAGAGAGATAGTGAAAATCTGTTTGGAGCCCTAGAAATCCGCAGAGATGGCGTCGTCGAAGGTGATGCCGTCTTCGACTTCGAGAAATTCGGATCTAAGACGAAGATCATCAACTTCATCTACAAAATCATCCATCTCCGAGCTCTACAACATCAACCACCACAGTAATAATCAACATCGTCAACAGTCTAACAACAGCGACAACAATCCAGGATCGATGACCGTCGACGGGCTCTTGCGAAATGTCTACGGCGACAATCAAGCCTCCGACAGCACGCTACTTGACGCTGAAATCACCTTGTTAGATGCCGCCGGTGCCGTGACCGCCATCAGCGACAATGAAGCGAGCGGAACGCCGACGATTCGGCGGCAGGAGAGTGCTTCGAGTGCCGGTGGGAAGACGGTTGATGAAGTGTGGAGGGAGATCGTGGCCGGGCGGAGTGACAGGAGGGAGGGTAAACAGGAGGTGCCGGATGACGAGATGATGACGCTGGAGGATTTTCTGGCGAAGGCCGGGGCGGTGGAGGAACAGGACGTGAAGGTTGAGCCGTTGATGCTCCCATCGGAGAGGTTGAGTGGAGGATTATTTTCGTTTGATTCGATTCCGGCGAGTCCGTTTCCAACTCATAGTGTTGATGGTGTGATAGGGTTTGGAAATGGAGTGGAGGTGATTGGAGGAAGAGGGCGGAAAAGAGCTCTTTTGGAGCCCTTGGACAAGGCTGCTCAGCAGAGACAGAGGAGAATGATTAAGAACAGAGAGTCTGCAGCGAGGTCAAGGGAGCGAAAGCAGGTTTTTTTTTTTTCTTTTTTTGAAAACAATTTGTCCTTCTAAAACAATTTTTCTTTTTCCTTCTTCTCACTGTATTTTGTTGAATTTGGTATTTTAATTGAATTTCAGGCATACCTAGTGGAACTAGAATCCTTGGCAGTGAAACTGGAGGAGGAGAATGAACGGCTGTTGAAAGAGAAGGTACTGTATTTTTGCTTGATCCCCAAATTTTGCTGCCGTGTTTAATTTCATGAAGTTGACGGCATGTAATTGCCTTGCCTGTTACTATTGTTGCTTAGCTTTTTTTTAAATAATTGATGTTTTATTCTATTGAATCGTATTGCTTAGTATGTTATATATCTGGAATTTATTTGTCAAATTTAAGTTGTTTTTATTTCATCTACACATACCATGTAGAAAAAGACTTAAAATTGCCAGACATTGTTACTTAGTGCTTGTCTGGAGATCGCGCAGTGGTGAATATTCGGGTCGACATGGTTATGTGAATACTCAGGTTGCTAAAGTTAAGAGATATTCATTAATAATTATGATTTTGCCAAGTAGTCTAACTGAACTGTCACACAGTATGCATGTAGAGAGGTTAGTCTAACTAACTGTTCACACTAATTATGGTTCTCATATGGCTGTGCCAATAATTGCAACCTTAGATCACTAATGTGAAGAAACTTAGCATCAATAACAAAGTAATCTTACTGAATACTTGCCGTGTAGTATTCTGGAATAACAAGAAATTGCTGGGTTGAACATGAAATTCTATTCATCTTTTCTCATCTGTTGTTTAAGACAAGGATGATGGTTACTTCATTAGGATGTACATTTTCCAAGAAGAACTTTGGTTACTCCATTGTGGTTTTTTTTAACTCTCTTTTCATTCGATGTGGACTGTATGATTGGGTCTGTGAGGAAGTGTGGAAATACTTAAATCTTGTCTTGCATTCTGTTTTTGCCACCTCATACATTGTTTATTGTATTTTGAAGCTCAAGAACATTGTCATCCATCCTTGAAAACTGATAATCAGGAGTGTACCGTTATATTTATTTTAAATACTTATCTACCAGTCACTTTAATTATATTGTTTATTTTTATTTATCGATTAAATTCTTTGAGTTAAAAATTGATTGTTGTTGCAGGAACAGAGGACTAAGGAAAGGTACAAGCAGGTATGGATTTTATTCAGAGCTTTGGCCCTATTACTTCACATTAATATTAACGAGATTGTCTTAGAAGTTTGGTAGTTTAGATAAAAGAAAACGACCATTCAAAGAAGCGCATCAGCTCAACTTAGTAGAAGCTTCGATTCTTGGCTGGATTTCTATTAATATGTTAATTAGGTATTTTGCACAAACATAACTTATTGTTTTATTTTATTTATTTTAATTCCTTTGCTCGGAGGTGGTATGCTATAAAAATTTAGGAACATAGCGGGCAATGTAAAACTTTAGTGTTCAGCCATGTCTAAAAGGACAAATCTCTCTCCCGTCCCCACCAAATACATTTTGCCATATGCTATATTCTATTTGTTTGGCTGTTAGTAGGGATGCAATGAAGTCAAGCCGAGTTGAGCATTTGGTTGTTCAAAATCTGATCGATCAATCAAACAGCCCTTCTAGCTCTAGCTCAATGCAAGACCAGATACGAGTGCTCAAGCTCTACTCAAACAATGACCTTCAAGTTCGGGTTCAACTTGTTTGGCCTTTTGAGTTCGATCTTGACATCATTCTTGAGTCTGATAAGATTGGAGAAAAAGTAGTAATAAACCCAAATATGCTTTAATGAACGAGTTATGTTCATAAATCTTATCGAGTCTACTCAGGAAAACTTATCAATGAAGTAGTTTGCAAACCTAATGAACAAAGCCATGGGTTTTCCAGCCTCCTTTCATTTACTCAACAAGGAAAATGTTTGAGCTTGCCTGGTTTACTTGGCAAATGAATACAAACCGATCTCTTACTGGATCGAGCCCAAAGTGTTCATGAATAGCTTGATTCATTTTAATCTAGCTGCTAGTAGTACCATACTCCAATAGTGAACAAAAACAATATGTGCTAGTCCAGTAAATCATAAATCTTGGTGCTGAGTCAGTTTTATTTATTTATTTCTGTATTAATGTAACATGAATTTGGATTAAGATAGATTTACTAAGATTTATATCTTAGATGCTGGAAGGTCTAAAGATACACTTAATAGCTATGAATTTTAAGAATGTACCAGAAGTGACAGGCTGGAGAAGAAGGATTCTTTTAAGCTGTGATTTTATGGATTGTTAAGTTGAATTCAGACAAGAGTGAGAGGAGGAGAACATTGCTCTTTTACTATTAAAAATCCCATCTTTTGGACTTGTCGTAAGAAACTATTTTAGTTGATGATATAGTTTAGGTGTACCTTCTGCGGTAATGCATGTGATGTTTGCTCATATCTTTGGTTTAGAGCTAGGATTTATGGAAGTTATAGAGAACAGTTGTGTGTATCAATTATTTTCCACATCTTTCATTTAGTAATGTTTAGTGTGTCAATCAGCACTCCCCTCCCAGCACTGTTTCATAACTTCATTGGCATTTGCCTCTTCTTTGGATTGCTAATGAATCAAAAGAAAGAAGTTATGAAAGTAATATTATAAATTTGTCGGGCTTCGTTGAATACGAGCATAGTTTAAACTTTAAAGTTGAGAAGATCTTAAAGTATTGGATGGCCGTTTATAATGAATTAAAAAGTGTAGTTTAATGTTGAGATGATCTTAAAGTATTTGGTGGCTGTTTATAATGAATTAAAAAGCTTTAAGTGGACAGAACAAGTCATACTATGTGCTTAAAGCTTTGGTCTCAAAATTTGGCTATTAACTATCAAGTAGGACCTACCTTTACTGTCTATGACAAAAGATTTGTCTATTGTTCTCTAATGACGACAAATATCACCAAAATGCATTGTTATTCAAAACTTGCAATATAAATCATCTTCATTACTAATACTTCACTAATTATGCAAATCGTTGAAATTACATCTGCAAATCTTTTGTGTTATTTTTGTTTTATAGATTAGTTAACCAAATTAAGATACCCTTCTCAATATTGGTAGATTGTTTAATGATTCTACTGGGTTCCAGTTTAATGAACATTGTCATTAAAATGAACTCTGGTGTAATCATAGTTCTCCATATTGTGCAAGTCTTAATAGGCCTGGCTGAGTACGATAATCGGAATTGGTAGTGTCTCAGTATAGTCTCTAGGGAATCGATCAAGTCTTGCTCGAGTTGCCAATGACTCAACCGAGTTAGCACATCAAATGATGCCAATTTACTTAACCAATTGACAAGTTTAACTGATTCATAGTGTAAACATAGAACGCCAGCTTTCTTACAAATATATGAAATTATTCTTGTGAACAGATGAAGGTGAGGTATGAAAGGAACATAGTAGTAAAAAACAAAATGTTGGGCGTTGCTTTAGAAGTGAGAACAAGAGTTCGGTTCCATAGTATACTGTATTGATGACTATGTAATTGGTTTTCTGTGCAGCTCATGGAGACAGTGGTCCCGGTTGTGGAGCAGCGAAGACCACCACGTGTCCTCAGGAGAGTTCGTTCCATGGACTGGTAGTTGTATATTTATGGATGAGGCATGAGATGGACACTAAACTAATTATTCTGACATACCGGGGGGCAATAAAAGAGGGCAAGGTTTCTGTGAAACCTTCTTTTGTTGAATCAGATGCTTCCACTGTGGTCACTGTCCGATAGTACTTATGGTTCCTACCACATAGAAAAAGGGTATAGATCACAACGTGTGTCATGAAATTCATTATTAAGGGAGAAAGGAGGACTTCCATTAAAAGAGATCAATGGAGCGGGATTTAGTTGTTGCTTCTTGTAGTTGATATGTGTTGCAATACAAGCTTCTTTTCCCCAAAGTGCTTAAGTAAAGGGGAGAGGAGATCCTAGGTCGGGATACTGTATTTATGTGTTTAACAGTTTATGGGAGTTCCTCTTGATAATTATTTTGGATTGGAGATTAGTGTCTTGTCTATATTTTGGTGGACCTTGTTTTGTGATTATCTTACTGGAGAAGATGTATGTGTTGGTCAAAAATGGAAATCAACTGTTGGAGTTCAATTCTTCTTGTTATTTGTCCAAGACTTGTTTGGTTACATACATATACAAAAACGAAGCCTGCCAAAAAATAGCTTTAATTTGAAATTAAACGAGGAAAATGAAGGCAACCAAATATTGAGTAATGACAACAGCCATTGCTCTTTATGATCTTTAGAAGATGCAATAGTCTCGATCAATTCACACAGGACATGGTAGCTAATATAGCCCAGTGTCTGAACAAGTTCTTACACAGTGCCCTGTCTTGTAGGAATATAACATGTTGGCTTTGGTAAAGCCATTGACTACCATTCATTCTACTACACTATGATCAATCAGTAGCAGCAAAGAAAATAAATGGTTGAAGCACCTCTTATTCAATGCTTTTTGGCTTTGATATTGCTTGGCTGGTTTTTTGCTTTTATCAAATGAATGACGATCACTATCAGAGAGACGAGAAAGGCTGATCCTGCCATGATAGGAAGCTTGGACTTTTTCGGAGGAGGTTTTGCAGATTCATCCACTTTAGCCTCTTGAGGAGGTTTTTCAAGAGCCCTTATCTTTTCTGATTCTGATTCTGATTCTGATTCTTCTTCTTCTTGAATATCATTTTCTGTTCCATGATTTTCTTCTGTTTTGGCAACTTCTTGATTTTTATCATACTGACATTGATCTTTATGCTGTTCCATGTCTGAAGTTTCATTACGATCAACTTCTTGTTTGCCTTTGGATTCCTTTGATTCTTGAATAGCTCGACTGGTTTTCTGTTTTTCTGATTCTTGTATTTGCATTTTGCTTTCCACTCCCGGAATTTTATCATCAGCGCGTACTTCAACAGCTTGACCTTTTTCAACTGATGGTGGACTTGATAATGCTGGCTGCTGAATTGCTTGATCAGGAACGGATTTTGTTGATTCGGTGGTCTTCGTGCCACAATCATCATCTTTTAACTGATTTTCCACTACAGTAGTCTCTGCTTCTGGAACTCCTTTCTTTTTCTGTTCTTCACCTTGAGTTTCTTTTGGGATCGCCACTTTTGATCCAGCAGATTCTACTTTCTCATGAGCCGAGTCTTCATATTTTTTCCCGCGTCCAAATTCAGAAGCTTCGGACAATTTTTCCACATTCCTATCACTTTTTTCGCGATCTTCAGTACTCGATTCTCCATATTCTTGCTTCTGCAATGTCTTTCTTTCAGCAACCTCATCGGCAACAGCTTTCACGGTTTCAGACACCCCTCTGGCAAACCCCTCTTCTTTCACTTCCTCTATCCCACCCCCAACAATAACCCCTTTAACCAACTTTGGCATTGAAATTATCAAAATTGATTCTTCTTCATTAAGCCTAGCTTTGATTTTATCCAAATCCACCCCAGATGGAATTCTGAAAGCCTTCCTGAAACCCCTCATCTCTCTCTCTTTCATCATCTCCTGAACTGGCATCTCACCGCTGATTTCAATCCGAGTCCCGTCCTCATTGATCTCAATCTTTATATTTCCTCTCCTATAACCTGCATTTGTTTGAATTTCAATAACTAAAGCAAATCAAAATGAATATACAAATATTTGAATAGCATATAATATGTATAGATACACATGGAAAAAAAGTGAACCTTTGAGAGGAGAAGTGAGGATGAACATGGTGTGTGTTTCTCTAGATGAAAAGAAAGGACCGTCTGCAGCTGCAAAATCATCTAGTTTGATTTTGAGTCCCTTTTCAAGTTCCATTTGTGGGTCTTCTTGGTTTGCTTTTTTGAATGCCTTAGTTTCAATAGAAGAAATATATATATATATATATATATATATATATATATGTACTTGTTTCCGACTTCATATTAGGGTAAAGCATATATGCATTGCTTCCTAACAGAGTATCGTTAGAGGCGTTAAAAACAGTTGAAATAGTCTGTTATCTTGTTTATGTTTGTGTTGGTTTGCCTTGGAGGGAAGAGATTTGTCAGATTTTTTAATGGCAAAATGTGACACAGAATGAACTTCCATGTTTTTGACGCTTGTGCTATGTTCGGTAGGAAGGAAAGAAGAGGGGTGGAAGGAAAATAGATAGGAAGGAATAAATTTTCTTTATTCGATAGAGATGATATAAGGAAATAAAATATAATAGGAAAGATAACTCATCATTCCTCCTTCACAAATTTTCATCCGCCCAAATATGGGCGAAAAATAGGAGAAAAATAAGTGAGCCTACCGATTATAAAAGTTTTAAAATACTACATCACCCTTTATAAATATTTAATAAATCTCATAAATAAAATAAGGGATGGATTTAATGATAAAAACAACTTAAAAATTTATTTATTTATTTATATCTCAACTCACTTTTGTATATATCTATATATCTCACACTCACTTTCGTATACAAGGACTTAGCGATGTGATTTTTTAAACTTTTATTTATTTATTTATTTATTTTGAGTTGTTGGTAGAAGAACGCAGAATGGAATCACCACACATCATTCAATAAGAAAAAAAAATTCAAATTTTGTGCCTGTTTAACAACACAAAGTTTAATTTACAGAAAAAAAAAAGAAAAAAAAAAAGAAAAAAAAGAAAAAACTGTTTGAGAATACCAAATTATGAAGGAATGCATTTATGCTTCACTTGACTCTTAAGTACATCTTTTTTCCTCTTTCCAGCAAATTGACCAAAACTTGGAAGTTGGAAACTTGGAACACACTAAATTTGAAACTGAGAATGGGATTTACCAGTCAAAAAAGCAAAAGGAACAAAACAAAGATCAACAAATGATAAAATATGGGTTGATATTATTATTAATTGATGTGTTCATTATTGATTTAAATACTTACTAAGAGTGTTTGGAGTCGTGCAAAAAATCGACCGTCAAGTAATTACTCAAACAAAAGAGCAGCAGAACTGACAATTACATTAAAGAATAAAGTTATGGGATATAAAATAGTACCAGAGAAGAAGAAAAGAAAGACAGATGAACAGAGAGAGACCTCCTTAAGAAATGAGTGTTTGGTGGTCTTAAGGTCTCATCTTTCTTTTGTTATATAATTTGCAATATAATAAGGCTAAGTGTCACCTTGACTAGAAGTTTAATGTGTTATATACTGACACATAGCCATATTTTCATAAGAATTTGATTAAATTATGTAGGACAAGATGACCGAAATATAGAATATAATAATAATAAAAAAGGTGTGACACCATAGAATATATTAAAACTTTGGTCATGGGAAGGAGTGTCGCTACCAAGGCCTAGCTTTTTTCATAATTCAAAGTTACTCTGACAATTACGTTTATAAAACTAGTGTTAAAAGCAACTTAACGGTGTTGATCAGAGTCAACGACAAATAGAAGTTGGAATATCTCTAGAAACACTTTAAATAAACTTAGAGTAGATTATGTATGTTTACAAATAAAAATGCATATAAGTTGCATTCGATCGTATGAAATTGGAGTCTTAAAATTAGAATTTATAAAATTATAAAAAAATTTAATTCAATTTTTCTAATTATTTTTCTCCGATTCCAAAACTTCAATTCCACCCAGTTGAATGCAGCCATAATAAATTACATATGAAGGGTTTTCCAAGTAATGCTAAATCAAATGAAGTGTTTTTTTGATAAAAATTCGGTGCATGTAGGATGGAGGGATTGAATGTATCCGGTGATAGATTATGGAATGCTCCACTCAATACACGTTATACGTACCTAAAACTTTGTATACTAAGTAGTAAATTATGTAGAGTTGTAAATAAATGCATATAGTAAAGGGTTTTTTAGTATTGTTAAATCAAATGAAGAGTTTTTTTGGGTAATTATTTGGTGTCACTAAATATATTTAATGGTGAATTATGAAGTGTTTTAAGAGGTTAAATATATTTAATGGTGAATTATGAAGTGTTTTAAGAGATTTGACACCATCAACCAAAAATATGTGTGTGTGGGTCTCACACCACCGCCGACCAAAAAAATGTGTGTGTGTGTGTGACATTAGGTCCTCCATATGAGATTGACCATTCACATGTCTTGCGACAAATTCCCAAAAATTAGGGCTTAAAACATATAGAGCTAGGAAGGATTATCCCAACAAAGTTCAAATCAGATGATGTGGCTAAAACATAGACGTGGGTCGACACAGAGCGTGTCCCAAACGCAGATGTCTATAATGCAAATTGCGAAGAGATGTGACTTTCCAACGAACAATAACTTTTTACCAATTAAATGCATTATTAGATGGCTTAACTACTGGCAAGTGGTGGTTACAATGGAGGTCACTGCTTTCATGACCTCTCAAGTTTTTTATGGTTGCTATGAATAATATTATTGATGAATGTACTTGTGCCAGATTTGCCACTGCTCGTGCCAAATCAAGAATGGGGCTGAGATTAAACCAGCAGTGACAAAGATGGTACTTGTGGGGGAAGCTTAACTGGAATCATATCCAAACAGATCATCTGATCCAACACGAGGATCGAATCAATGAGAAACAACATGGTCGAGAAGGAAGATGGTTAGGGCCGACTTGTTTTGCCACTGAGAAACCAGTTGTCGCAGGGTCGGCTCGAGTCTTAGGCGAGTTAGGCGGTTGCTTAAGGCTTCAGCCAATAAGAAGGCTTTATAATTTTTTATTTCTATATATATTATAACTTTTCTAAAACAATTATAGTATTTTATTTAATTATTTAATTATTAAACTTCAACGTATAGAGAATTTTGACAGTTTACCAAAAAGATTTTTATTATTTTTTTTTTTTGCGGGCTCCCAAAATTTTTAACTTACCTAAAAATTTTATTTTCTTATATCATTAAACCTTAACAAATACAAAATTTAATAGTGTGCACAAAATATTTCTATCCTTGTATCATCTTCTTTTCGTTTTTTTTTTTTTTTTCCTCTCTCTCTCTCTCTCATCCTCATTACATTAGCATATATACACACACATTAAAATTAAATATATATTTAAGTGAAAATTGGTGAAACTTTCTATATTTTTCTAAGAATCCTATTAATTTTTATTTTATTTTATTCCTCACATATTTTTTCTCCTCTATCATTATAATATATATATATATTTTTTTCACAGTTACAATTTACAATCTCACTCCAGAAGAAGATTTTGAATATACTTATATTCTATTAAAGAATTTATTGGAGCATTAAACCAAATTATTTGAAATTAGTTTTTATTATTCTATAACTTAAATTAGTTTATAGTTTTATTAATTTTTGTTATCATATAATTAGCTGGCATAAATATATGAATAGATTTAATTAAAAGGCCCACTTTTTTTTTTTTTTTTTTGCTTAAGGCCTCATATTGTATTGAGCCGTCCCTGAGTTGTCGACATCTTATTAATAAAAAAACTGTTTTCAGAATACTATAAAATATATATTTTTTAATTTTATTTATGAAAATAGATCAAAATTTTTTTTTTTTTGAAATTTTAAATTCGGGAGTAATATGATTTTCAAAACAATGAAATCTTAGGGCTATATTTGGTGCAATGGAAAAAAAAAGAAATGATAACATTAATTAGGAGAGAAATGAACAGGAGAGGATAATGTTAACCATGTATTGTGTTTGGTTAATTTATGAAAGAAAAAGAAGAAGATAATAATCATATTTGGGGAAAGAAATAAAATGATACTATTTAATGAATTTACTATTGTACCCTTTATTTTTTTATTTTTTTATTTTATAGATTCGGCCTTTTATAAAAATATAAAAAATAAGGACAAAATCGGTATTAAAAAAAAGTTTATATTAAACTTTATGACCCTTTCCTTTCATGCCCTTGAGTCCATCATGCTTAATTTGTATCTCTCCAAATCCCCCAAATTTTTATTTTAATTTATTTTAATTTTAATTTTAATTTTTTTCTTTCCTTTATTGATTTGTACCCAACACAATTTAGCATTCCAATTGTAATCCACGCAGGGTATGGTTACAGTAAGAAGTAGCTTTGACTTGGAATTCTAGTGGCCCCTATAATGATATCTTGTGAACCATCATTATAAGTATTTTCTGGTGAGGAAAGGCAAATTTTGATGAAATATTGGATGTGGATAATGCATAAAGCTCTCTTTAGAAAGAATTTAACAAGCTTTTTCAGAGAATATAGGTTGCTACTTCAACAAATTAATTGAATCTATGGACTTGAATACTGTAAAATTGTGATGAAGATGTTCCGATTGAGAGAAGCAGCAGAATACATACCATATATATTGAAAGGGAGGAGAGAACAAAATAAAATTAATGCTTCATTAAACAGAATTAGGGAAGCTGTCAGGACTTTTAGCTCACATCCATGGTGGGCAAATCAGGTTGCACAGGTTAGCTGTGACGGATTGTCACCGGAACGAGAAAACACACACACACACACACACTCAATTGCAGGTTCTCCGGAGTTTGACATATTCAACATTTAGCCTGTCAATACCATCCTGACATTATAATGAATAAAAATAAATAACTCAGTTACAGAACCTCCTTAAGACCATGTGATGGAGTTTGACATGTTCAACAACTTGGGCTGTCAACACCTGCAAATATTTTCATTGTCATTCCAGCACATAAGCATGGCATCAAGTCATTGACCAAATTGCCTCAAGTAATCTTTCTTCAATAGAATAAAGTCCATGGTCACAAAATAAAAAAAATATCTGGGTCAAAAAACAAGGAAGTTTGAGCTTGACTAAAGACTAAAGACTAAAGACCTAATTCCCCTGTAATTTTGCAAGCAGATATTAAAATCTTTCTGAAATATTAAACTACTTCCTATGGTCAAAACAGATGAAGTTGGAGCAAAAACTACCTGGGGTTGCATCAGATGGTCAAATGGACTCTCTTATGACAGTTTGAGCTTGACCAAATATTTGAAGACGCAGCAGACACAATTTCCTAGTTTAGACAATTACCTGCACATCGAATATGGGAACTGCCCCAAATATCAATGGGCATTAGCCCAGACGGTACGATCTCTCCTCCCCACAGGGGAAGTTGAGTGCGAGCCCTGCTAGGGGTAATATTGAGGTAGTGTAAGTTTGCTTGAAATTTCGGGGAAAAATAAAAAACACAAAAAAGTAACTACCTAAAAATTTTGTTAGAATAGAGGCAAATGACAATGAAGTTCATGCAAACTATTGGAATGGACTAGAATCAAGTAAACCTCAATAAAGAAAGGAAAGCATCATGTGGAAAGAAAGAGGAAGAGACCATAAACATCCACATCCTCATTGGGTTTCATTCTGCAATTGTTACTTCATCCATATAGATCAATAGACAGAACACTCATGTTACATCATAAGAAAAAAAAATGTTACCCAATTAAGAACCAAAATACAAATATGAAACCATAGACAGAGCAGAGCACTCATGTTACATCATAAGAAGGGGAAATTTTTTTTCTACAGAATTAAGAACCCAAATACAAATACGAAACGTACAACAGCAATTCACTCTCGACAAAAGTAATATGTACCATGGGTGGAAACTTTATTCACAACTACGAAACAAGTATAGCTGCATCAGCAAGAAGGAAAATTACTCAAAATTTCGATTGTACACTAGCAACACAAGCCAGACAAAAAGCATATGGACAATGAAGGTCCAATTGCATATCCTAATTTCTTTACACAATATATGATCATAACTACAAGAACTTTACCTCTTCAAACCACTAAATTTATTGGCAAGTTGCCTTCAATCATTGGTTCTTTTGAAGTCAAGACTCGGAACAAACTCGCAAGCTCTACATTTGGAGTCCATAGGAAATGGACTTGATAGATGTATCAATCGTGTTGCATTGCCCTTCCAAAGGAGTCAAGACCCTCAGTTCTGCTTCGAACAATTCTATGGAACACCTCCCTCACCTGGCGTTCCAATGGATCCAATCCATCCTTTACTGCTTCAAACACTCCTCTTAGCTCCTCCACCCTCTGCTTCACATCTCCTTGCTTTTCCTCCGTCAAAGGAAACTGAAAATCAGTCAATTCATTCATGTGACGCGCACATTTCTCAATCTGATGAATCTCCTTCATCAATCCACAGGCATTTCTACGTTCCCGTTTCTTCGACTCCTCCAAGATCCTTTCATGGAGGGAGAGAATCGGAACTGCCCAGATGTAATGCCGGGGAATGGAGAAATGGGTTTGAAGGCCACGGTCCTGGCAAGGGATCGCGGCCACAAGTGCCCACATTACAAACAATAACACAGAGCTCATAGTGAAGAGTGCCAATGAGAGTCCATTTGTGGCCACAATTTCATTTCCTTTTGGAGCTGCCAAGTTATTCCCAATTGCTTGGAGCTGCTTAGCGGCTGACCATGACCTCGAAACACTCCATGACAGAGATCGAAAATGCCCGATGGACTTATGATCCTTCTGAGCATTGTTACGCCCAAAAGACCGATTTCTATGCGAAATAGCTGTGTTTGACTCCTTCTCATCAAGCATCCCAATTGCCAAATCAATCAATGCCTTCTTGGCTCGACGAAATTGGCCCTCTCCGAGACTCCTCTGATTGTCCAATGCACACAACACAATCTCCAACTGCTTCTGCCACTGCCTGATCTGCTCAATCCCGTCTCGAATCGCATTACACACATCGAGAGCCTTCACACTCCTCTCGAAGAACTCCGAAATCAATCTGTCCATTGGAGCTCTGACCATGTACCCTTTGTTGTTCAGCAACAAAACCCTAAATTCTTCCTGGCAACAGAGGAAGACATCGAGGAGTTTCCGAACCCAGGATAGAGAGAGAAGCTCGTTGGAGCCCACCGCCGATAAATCGTGAAACCGGTCGGCGACAAGCCTCTGGAAAGCATCGAGCTCGACCTCCTGGGCCGTGGGTTCTCGGGTATTCTCCATGGAATGAACTTGATCACGACGAATACTCAGGATCGAACGGCCAAAATTAGTCAAAGAAGCTGATGGCCCTTGATAATCTGTTAATGGCATTTCTCACACGAACAAAAAATCGCCTCAAAAGATTGTAAATTTCTCACACAATCATCAAAATCAAAACTCAACCAGGAGAGAATAACACAATTGGATCCCAAAATCGCTGAAAATGAAGAGACCCAATTGAAAACAGTAATAACACTAGAACACAAATGACCAAATGGTTTCGTATATTTTTGTGACAAATCAACAAACACACATTAGGTTTCAAGTAAAACCCACAGAGATTTGGAGGGGATGGAGACGAACAAGGCAAACCCAGAAATCAATTTTAGAGAGAGAGAGAGTATAAAGAGGATATGGTGGTGGTGAGAATGTTGAAACCCTAAAGGAGAGAGAGGCGCTTATATTGGGAATGATTTGGACCGCGTAAAATAGGGTCGTTGAAATAGAAAATTCGAAAAGCGTAGGCTAAAGAAGGTATTACGTGAAAAAAGCTAACCATAATTAGAAAACTAATGAAGCTTTTTTTGGATCGAAGAGTTAATCAATTATTAACTGGGACACGCACAGCACACGTAGTGGACACGCAGGGGTACTAAGTAGTACTAATACCTTTTCATCTCACACAGTCACACGTAGTACTCGTTTTTTGAGAAGCTGTTATTTGTTTAGTATTGATATACACTACGTAGTAGTTCCTACAAGTGTTTAGAGTCCTCCACCATGTGGTTCAATTAGTAAAAAATTCTAAATATAGATTTTGATTGGACCGGGCTAATGTCCAATGCACGTGGAATGCATTAAGTCACACAATTTTTTTACCCTTTTTTCTCTCACGATTTATACGCATTTTTGTTCAAATCCTGACTGTTTAGCTTCCATTCTCAAATTTGCTCTCGCTACTTCTTTATTTGACTTGAGGTATGTAACATTATTCAACGGTTTAAATTTTTAAGTAGAATATCAAGTGTTTGATTCGTTGTAGTAGTATTAGAGGACGACCTAGTTCATAATTCGATGTCGCGCCAAACGCTTAAATAAAGTAGTCGAATCCGAGTGAGTTAAAGGATAAACACCTCATTCGTTACAATTACTATGTAATTTATTTAGAATTATTAAATAATTTATTGTTAGAGATATGCAAAGGATTATACTTTGAATTTTTAAGAAAAGATCTACTTTTAGCAAAAATCATACACATTCACTTAGATCATGCACTATTGATTATAATTTATAACCTTGTTAAATTTAATTTATTAACATAAGCAATTTTATTATTTGACGCAGTTTTAAAGTAGGAGAGAAATTCGTTAAAATATAGTTATGCCATATCTCAAAAAAGTGAATGCATTTACTTTACATATATTTGATTCAAGCCCTAAATAGTAATAAAAGCTACTTATTATTTTATTTTTTTCAATTCATCTTATTAATTATAATTGGTGGTTTGCCATTAAATAGTCTCACATGCTTGGGGTCCAAAATTGAATTAGGTTAGGCCTATCCATTATTGGTTGTGTAATTTGTAAAATCAAATAAATTAAAATGGTTCTTATATAGTTTGAATTTAATTCAATAAAAAGGTGATTTAATCATTTGAATTGAGTTCAAACTTTTACTAGACCACTAAAACCAAATCAAAGATAAACAATTGAACAAATTAATTTAGGTTTACGTGGTTGTAGTGTGAGTGTGAGTGGGGACAAATTAAAATAATGTGAGCACATTGGAGGGAGGGGGTGCGTTGACCACGTGTGGAAAGTCTATTGGTGGAGGGCGGCAGTTGTTGGACGCAGTCACATGTGGGCCGAGCCAAACCGGACTACTTGGCACATATGTACAAGACTTGGTCCGATACCTCTTCTAGAAGAGTTGAGATAGCCAATAATGTCAAATTGGGAATATAAATATGTATTTATTTATTTTTTGACTATTAAATATGTATTTATTACAGTATTAGTGTAAATGTATATATCAAAGTTTAGTATGTGACATTAAGGTGCTGTTTGGTTGGAAAGATAGAACAAGAAAAAGAAAGAACGGAAGGGATATAATATATATATATATATTTTTATTTTTATTTTTATTGTTTTTTTTAATTAATTAATTTTTTTTTTTTTTTTTTTTTTTTTTTGAGGAGGAAGAAATAGAAGGAAAGAAAATGAATAATTAACATGTTTAATGAAATTTTATTAGTACTAAATTTGTCTTTATTTCTATAAAAAATAAAATTTATGAAAAAGAGTATAAAGTAAATTTATTAAAATAGTTTCATTTTCTAAATATGATTACTAACCTTTCGTTTCGTTTAATTTTTCTTTTTCGAGATTCCTTTCTTTTATTAATTAATCAAATACAATAAATGGTTCACATAATTCTCTCGTTTCTTTCTTTTCTTTTATCTTATAATTAATATTATCATTCTTTTGAACTAACTGAAATTTCATGTCACGCTCAACTTATTAGTGATGGAGTCGAAAAACAATTCGAGGGAGATGGGTGGAGGAGCTTGAATTGCAATAAGATAATATTTAGTTTCCCAATTGATCCAAATTTCTCTGAATAACAAAAAATAAAACAAATTTAATAGAAATTTCAATAAACAATTGGATTTAAAAGCAACTTTATTGTAAAATATTGAATCACTATAAATAAAGATATGGATTTGTCTATTATCAATTTTATTATACATAATTGATCTCATAATTGAGTGTGGATTGATCTCATAATTGAGTGCGCGCACAAGAGTGAGATAGAGAGGATGAATGGGAGGCGGAGAATTAGAAAATGAGAGTCCAAGGAATCAGGAAAATAAAATAGGCTTTTATAAATAATATATATGATTTAAGTATTCTGACATGATTGGATATATTTAATATTGTTCCACAACATCAATTCAGTTCGCAAATTGTCCACTGCAAACACAACTTAAATTTAATAAAATTATAAAGGTGTCTTAACATATTAATACTTTTATCGAATTTTCAATTTAGCAAATATATTTTCCAAACTCAATTTGTAAACATCATGCTAATATATAATCTCACTAAATCACAAACAATTTTATATTTTATTACCATCAAAATTTTGACGTAGACATGTGCATTAGTGAAAATAACACACAGCAATTGATTCCATCAACCATGACTCCATGAATAGTAACCATCTTATAGAATATAGATAATACCTTTCAAACATTGGAAAAAATTCCATGAACAATGACTCCATGAATGATCTAGCAACCATCTTATATTAGATAATATCTTTCAGCAACCATCTTATATTAGATAATATCTTTCAAACATTAGAAAAATAAGCTCAGAAGCATCATCTCCAATTACTCCAACAGTGATGGAAATGTCCTACTTGATCAAGAGCATCTCATTCCAAAAACGGGTGAATTGCAAAAAAAAAACCCTCAACTTTCACCGGTTAGCAAAAAACTCCCTTTATAAATTTGTTTAGCAAAAAAATCCCCTCAACTATTATGAAGGGGGTATTTTAACTGACCTCTGTTTCAGGTATTTTCTGAGAAAAATCTTTAGACGAAATTACCCTTAATATTACACACGTTCCCATTCATATCCCTGCCGCAAATGAGATATAGATCCATTATTTTAACCATTAGATATATTAACAAAACATATCCCTTGTTAGTAATTATGTTTCAAATTACCATTATTATTAGTTTATATTTTAGAGTATTTTTATGGTAATTTCTTATAGAGACGTGAATTGGGTTCTAAGAAATTGTAATCCTTGTCCACAAAGGAATTGAGTATGTGACTCTATAAATAGATACTTAGGGTATTGTTGAAAGTTATGAGTTTGAGAGAGATGTAACTTCATGAGGGAGTATGTTGATTGTAGGGGTGAGTTACGGGTTTGGTAGAATGAACACTAATGGCGAGAGGGAGTCTTGTGGAGTACCTTGATGGTAAGGGTGAGTTACGGGTTTGGTAGAGTGAACACTGATGGCGAGAGGGAGTTTTGTGGAGTACACGGAGAACTCGGTCAAGAGTTTGTGTGCATGGTCCGGTGTTAAAATTCTCTACTATTGTAATATCTCTACATATATAGTGAATCTCTTCTTATCCGTCGATGTAATCCTGATTTTGGGTAAACCACGTATATATCTTGTGTTATGGTTGTGCCCCTATAACTAGTATCAGAGGCAAAGGTGAAGGAGATCCAGAAAACATAAGAAGGCTCAACATGTGCTACAACGGGCTTCAGTTGTAAGTGGAGTCAATCGGTTTGGTTACATGGCATAGAGCTTGAGTAGTCAAGGTGGAGCCTTGGGGTTTTGACTCATTGAGCAACGTATAGTGGGATTAATTTGAGTTCTGCAATAAGATCGAGAAGATTGAAGTTGCAGAGAATTGTCCAGATTCAATTGCCATGAGAAGCGATTGATTGACGTAATGGAATTTGAGCCAAGGTGGAGATTGTTAGTAATTATGTCTCAAATTTTCATTATTATTAGCTTATATTTTAGAGTGTATTTTTATGATAATTTCTTATAGAGACATGAATTGAGTTATAAGAAATTGTAATCCTTGTCTACAAAAGAATTGGGTATGTGACTTTATAAATAGACACTTAGGCTATTGTTAAGAGTTATGAATTGAGAGAGATGTAGTCTCATGAGGGAGTACGTTGATGGTAGGGGTGAGTTACGGGCTTGGTAGAGTGAACACTGATGGCGAGAGGGAGTCTCGTGGAGTACATGGAGAACTCGGTCAAGAGTTTGTGTGCATGGTCCAGTGTTAGAATTCTCTATTATTGTAATCTGTCTACATATATAGTAAATCTCTTCCCATCCACGATGTTACCCTGATTTTAAGTGAACCAGGTATATATCTTAGGTATATATCTATTGTTTTTTTTTTTATTTTGCTTCCGCTGTGTCCCAATATCCGTGTTTATTGAAAATGGATGTAAGAGTTATATCTTAAAAAAAGAAAATCTACAAATTATTTTAACCATTAGATATATTAACAAAACATTGCTTCAACTCTATGACATAATGAGCATACAATAATGAATATGGGGAACATTGAATATTCTGGAAGGTGTCCAAAGAATAATTTTTCCTTTTTCGGGAGTCGTGGTACGGCGACCACAAGGTCACCATGGAGGGTTGAACAAGGTCGCAGTTCCGGCGACCTGGTTCAAGAAGCTTGCTGAGCTTAGCGGTTGAAGCTTTGGGTTCGCCGGACTATGACGCCGCTGCTACTTTGGACGCCGGAGTTCATGGATTCTGATTTGGTGGCTGAATCTTTTTCTTCTCCCTGACTTTTCTCCTTCAATAGCAGTCCAGTGAGGTTATGTCCAGCGAGCTTTTCTCCGGTAAGACCGGCGACCCACCTCTAACTTCGGGCCATTGGAACACCGTCTTAGAAGGCGGTGCTGCTGCATAGAAATTGGTGGCGTAGCAAAGTTCATGCA